TTGGCCGCACATGGCTAAAGATGTGCAGGCCTATGTGAAGACTTGTCTTGTGTGCCAGCAAGACAAAATCGAGGCAAAGAAACTGGCGGGACTGCTACAGCCTTTGACCATTCCTGAGCGCCCATGGGAAAGTATTTCCATAGATTTTATCATTGGTTTGCCCAAAACTGATGGACTTTCAAGTATAATGGTTGTGGTTGATAGGTTTTCAAAGTATGCGACGTTCATACCGGCATCTAAAGTCTGGATCGACTTTTCCTCAAGCATGTGGTGAAGTATTGGGGAATGCCGAAAACCATCATTAGTGACCGAGACACGCGGTTCACAGGCAAGTTCTGGACGGAGTTGTTCAAACTGATGAGATCGAGCTTGAACTTTTCCACCGTAGTTCATCCACAAACCGATGGACAAACTAAGCGAGTGAATACTCTATTAGAGATCTATCTGAGGCACTACGTGAGTGCCAACCAACGAGACTGGCCAAAGTTATTGGATGTGGCCCAATTTTCCTACAACTTGCAACGGAGCGAGGCGACAAACCAAAGTTCGTTCGAGATCGTGACCGAGAAACAACCGTTGACACCCAACACGATTGTTACCAAGTATGAATGGCCCAATCCATCAGCACACAACGTTTCCAAGTAGTGGCACGAGCAACACGACTTAGCCCGAGCTTGTTTGCATAAGGCGAGAAAGCGAACCAAGAAGTGGGCTGACCGAAAGCGGAGGGACGTAAACTTTGAAGTTGGCGACCTTGTCCTTACAAAGTTGGCCAATGTTTTGTGCCACGCGGATGTGCACAAGGGGCTTGTACGAAGATACGAGGGTCATTTCCGAGTCGTGAAGCGGGTAAGCACCATGGCCTACAAATTAGAGTTACCTTCAACCATCCGAGCATATCCAGTTATCCATGTTAGCCTGCTCAAGCCGTACCATCAGGATACCAAGGATCCAGATTGAGGCAAGTCACACCGAGCGCCAATCGGAGTAGCAGTCTCACATGACAAGGAGATCTAGGACATACAAGCGGAGAGAGTCATTCGACGACCAGGACACCGCCCAAGGCATGAGTACTTTATCCTATGGAAGGGACAACCCGAGTTCGAAGGGAGTTGGGAACATGCCGAGGGACTTTGGCAATTCAAAAACAGAATATACCAATATCATGCCAAACGAGTGACGAGGGCATCACCGGAACCAGTGGGGGAGAATGTCACGAACCAAATCCCACCACCGAGGTTAGTACATGAAAAGTAGCCCAAATGGGGGTTTGGACCTTCTAGAAGCCACAAAGACTTTGGTGGCATTTAAATTTGTATAGATAATGCTCACTTGTTTTTTGTAGGTAGGATTTAATCTCGACTGTCGATGTAATTAGATCTTGGTCGTTCATTGAGGGGAGCTTTAGCTATAAATAGAGTCCTCCCCTCCTCATTTGTACTCACTCCTTCACTTTGAGAAATCATAAGAGCATTCTTCTCTCAACGCTTTCTTATCTTCCTTTTTGTGATAGTTCTCTTGTCTAGCTTCCATCGAGATTCTAAGCATCCTTGCTTGAGATATTTTCAGGCTTACTTAGCCGCAATCACTAAGAATGCGACTAAGGCCGCACGTTCCGAGGCATCAAAGTTCTAAGGGCATGACAATAACAATGGCGTCTGCATGATTGAGAGAGAGAGACTAACGACAATATGAGCAAATCCACTTAATAAATTTAAAAGATAAAAAAACTTTCCACAGAGAGTACATTCTAAATGAAAGAGAATGAAATCGACTTGATAATTATATGTTAATATGTCAATATCGATTACATGGCATATATGGATGATGTATTTTGTCTTTATCATGTTTTCAAAGTATATAAATATGAGTTTCCTTCGATAAAAAAATTTAAGACATGTCTTGATTTGGCATATAATTGTATTGAATTCTTCATTACAAAAAATATATATATCTAGATCGTTCAAAATCAACTAGAATTCATAATGCTAAGTATATCAGAGAAAATATCATACAACCTAAATGATATGAATACTTTAAAAACTCATGTCACAATTAAAAAAATGTCTTCCTCTTTTAGTATCTCTCAACCTCAAGCCATAATCATATATTCTTATCATTTATAATTTTTTCCTCTAATAATAACTTTTTCCATTTAAATTTTGTCATTATTTCTTACCTTCTTATTATATTTAAACAATAAAATTAATCATTAAAATTAAACTCCAAACCAATCATTACTCCCTAACATAACAAAACACTCTAAATGCTCTTACTCTGAAACCCTAAAGTCAAATGCCTAAATAACCATTTTTAACACTGACCTAATAACATTAAAACTATGTGCCCTTAAAACCTAAATCAGTGATATAAATTGAATATAAAAACAGTAAAATCTAATGAAAACACTTTTTGGTCAAATACATATTTCATTTTTATGATCGATTATGTAACGTAAAATAAAGATATATTTAATAAACTGTTTTTTTTTTAAATACGTTGACAAAACATAAAATAAATATTATTTTGATGATTATTTTTTATCATATGATATTTTTTATAAATAATATATTTAAATAATAAAATGATTCTTATTTCATCGCACTATTTAAAATATCTCTATATAAAAAACCTTTTTGTAAGAACATGAACGCAACTTCTTTTGTATAACTTTATATTTTAATTAAGGCTTACCATAAAAACCCCACCTAGAGATGGAACTGGACAGCCTCGATGCTGTTCGCATATTGCAGAACAAGAGAATACAACAACGAACGGGGAATATCATACTGCATATCAGAGAGAGGGAAAAAAAGGATTGGATTGTGCGTTGCCAACACGCTCCTCGAAACAGTAACAGAGTGGCCAACCAAACATGCGAAGCCAACAGACTTAGACGTACACTGGTTAAACAACTCACCATCGGAGGTGGTAACTGGTAAGTCTGATTCAGGAACAAGAAACGTGAGATAGTTGAGCGTTGAAGCTCATTCTCTTTTGTTAACAAAAAAAAAATAACATAAAAATAGGTGTCTAAGCTATATTTAAAGTTAATTTTATGTGTCTAAATATTTTTTTTTATTAAAAATTGGTGATTAATGTTTTTTTTTGTTATAGTTTTATGTGCCTAACATTTTCTATGTTATATTTTTAGGTGTATGTGTTGTAACGATCATTATAAAATACCGTTATCTGACACGTATCGGGCATATAAAATTTTATTTCAAAAAAACGCTTAAATTAAAATTTATTTTATACATTTTGATTTTTTTGTAATGTTCAAAAAAGTTCATATCTTTTTTTCTATTTTTTACAAAACACCCCAAAAATCATAAAATCCTCTAAATACTCTCAAATCCCTAATCCACTGTCTAGCGATTCCCAATCACCTTCGATTGACCCACTACCAGCCATAGTGAGTTGTCATCGTCAATGTGAAGCCACCTCACCAGTGCCCAGTGTGTGTCATGTCATCGAAGCAACCCCACCATCGGGATAATAGAATCGTGAGTGTTGCTGTTCCTTTTGAGTGGGAGCATATCCCGACGATATGCAATTGAATCAGATAAGGAAGCTTCAGCGATAGTGGTAGATAAGGCGTTTGTGACAGCGAAAATGACGATGGCTGGAGGCAAAGGAGTCGATTGGGGTTTAAGAATTTTAGGGGTCTTTTTGATACTTTTTTGAAACATTTGGGGTAATTTTATAAAATTTTGGGTTTTTTTTAAATAAATTATAATTTTAAGTTTTAAATTTAAATTTAAATAAAAATTAAAATTTTATGAAAGTGATGTGTGTCACTTAACGGCCGAATTTAATGGTCATTATAATCCATACACCTAAAAGTGTAACGTTAAAACGTTAAATACTTATTTTTGTATTAAACCTTTAATAAATTTTTGTAATAATAATATTAATAATAAAACTATGTGGTTGGACTTTTTTTGACAAGGTAGAGACCGTTAGTTTTATTGAAAATAAAAAAAATATCTAAGTTATAATTAAAATTTACAATCACAATCGTAAACTAAAACACATAATAAGAACATTTCCCTATAATCATTTACATAAGAAATTGTGACTTAACATCACACAATGATCATATAAGGAAAATATTAAAAACCTAACCAAATAAACTCGAATAAAAGGTAGATACGAACAGATCTAACTGTATCGAAAAGCGAACTACAAAAGGAGATCAAATTATTGAAAGACCACCGAAAAACTATAAATCATAATCGAATGACGTGAGAAAACTATCCACGGACGCAAAATCGTATCCAAATCCAATATGAGAATCCAAAGCATGGAAGATCATCATAATAACAAATGACCTCATTTTAATCAATCGCGGTAATATCAAATTTAACTATGAAAAAGGAAATGTGCCAAAAGGTAAAGGAAACATGTCATAAAGACAGAGAAAAACGTATCATAAAGACAGAATTATTAAAAAGAAAAAAAAGAAAAAACAATGATACAACACAATAAAATAAAGAAAATAAATACCGACAATTAACGATCAATACTAAAATTAATATCACCGTCAATTATATAAATAAGAAGAAAAAAAAGATGATTAACGATGACAAAGAAAAAGAGAAAAAAATTATGGTTAAAAACCTTAACTACGCGACCAAACTTAAATCCCAATTTTTGGATAATATAATAATAGCCTAATAAATATGCCCAATATCTCAATAAACTTGACATTTTACTCAACCGCTCAACTTACATGATTCATTTCGATTTTTGATTTTATTCATTTTTTACTTTTAAAAAAATCCATTTTACATGTGATATCATAATTTATTTATTTTATTAAAAACCATGGAATAAAAATAATAACTTCCTAATTTTTCTTTTTTAAGGACTAACATTTATATATGAAAATTTATGTTAAAATTACTTTTTTTTCCAATTTTCTATTTTCACTCATAATATGCACTATTTTGTAACAATAAAAGAAAAAAAAAATTCCAAATCAGAGAATTTGAGCTTTGTTTCCGCTTCATTGTAAATTCGGTTGGAATTGTAAACATTGGTTGTCTAGCGGGACGAAGGTGAAAGCGAAAGGGATCTATCTCATCCGAGATTATTTGTGGCAATGAATAAGCAAATTGCATCATCATCAAGACCCAGAAAGCCCAGTGGTACGGTTTTACCCTACCAAACCCAGCGAATAAGGGACCACTATTTCTTGGGCAAGAAGCTTGGCCAAGGCCAATTTGGCACCACCTATCTATGTACCCACAAGGTCACTGGTGTCCGCTACGCCTGCAAATCAATCCCCAAGCGCAAACTCGTCTGCCTTGAAGATTATGATGACGTCTGGAGAGAGATCCAGATCATGCATCATTTGTCCGAGAACTCATCCGTGGTGCAGATCAAGGGAACTTACGAAGATGCCGTCTTTGTTCATTTGGTTATGGAGCTTTGTGCTGGTGGGGAGCTTTTTGATAGGATTGTGGCCAAAGGTCATTATAGTGAAAGAGAGGCTGCTAAGCTTCTCAAAACTATTGTCGGTGTGGTCGAGGCTTGTCATTCTCTTGGGGTTATGCATAGAGATCTCAAGCCTGAGAATTTCTTGTTTGATTCTCCTGGGGATGATGCCGTTCTCAAGGCTACAGATTTTGGCTTGTCCGTCTTCTATAAACCAGGTTGCTCCCTGGGTTTTCTTTTGCGTATATATGTTGATCTTGATTCTCTTGAATTGAAGGCTTTTTGGGTTGAATGATTAATGCAGTTCACCGTGAATTAAAAACTGTAGTTTTGAATTTTCTTTTTCTGATTTTTGTTAATTATCTGATTGGATGTTGAAATCTGGTATTGGTTTTTTTTTTGAAATGTTATCTGGTATTGGTTGCTTCCATGGTTGGGGTTTTCTTTTGATTTTATTGTTATTATTATTATTATTATTTAAATTGAATTGATTCTTTGAAGTTCTTGGGATAATTATATTTCTCCGTCATGATTCACTGCATGTTCTTCAGGTACTGTTTATTAGGATCAATTTCCCTTGGGATTTGATGCTTGATATATATTTTTCAAAGTTCGCATTATTTTTGAAAAGGGAAATTGTGTGGAACGTCAGTTCTGGTTCAATTATCTAATTCAATTGAATATATAATATATAAATCTTCTCCAACATTAACTGAGATGGTTCAATTAGCTTGGAAAACTCGTCTGATGTCAAGATTATCACAATTAACTTATCAGTGAGTGCTTTATTACTGAACTCTGCTTGTAAGAACCGTCTTTGAATTTCTCGTGCACCATGTACCAGTGCTTTCCCTTATATTTTTTTGAGGTGCTTTATTCGTTTCCATTGCAGGACAATGTTTTTGTGATGTTGTTGGGAGTCCCTTTTATGTTGCTCCGGAGGTTTTGTTGAAGCATTATGGACAAGAAGCAGATATATGGAGTGCTGGTGTTATCCTATATATCTTGTTGAGTGGGGTCCCCCCATTTTGGGCTGGTATTTATTTTGAAATATTGTAATCCCTGCAACAAGTGGTGCCATTCTCGTGTTCTCATATCCTGAGGTGTACTTACCTTCCCTCTCCACTTGCAGAAAGTGATTCGGGAATCTTCAGACAGATTTTACATGGAAAAGTTGATCTTGTATCTGAGCCATGGCCTAGTATCTCTGACAGTGCAAAAGATCTGTTAATGAAGATGCTTGAAAGGGACCCAAAAAAAAGAATTTCTGCTCATGAGGTCCTGTGTAAGTTCTTTGAATACTATGCCATATATGTTATTATTTCTTTTCTGTAGCAGGTGAATGACAGTTCCATTCTTTGTTGTATGTCTGTAAATCACAATTGCTAGTTGATTTATGCATCAGGTCACCCATGGATTGTGGATGATAGGGTTGCCCCAGACAAACCTCTGGATTCTGCTGTATTATCACGTTTAAAGAAGTTCTCAGCAATGAACAAACTTAAAAAGATGGCTCTGCGTGTATGTGATTTTCCTGTTTTCCATCTTATTAATGATCTCTAGTTGTGGGAAAAAATTCATAGAATCTGATAGTTAACTTCTCATCTAGTTATCTTATATTCAGAATTTATTATCTTCTTGCTGAAGGATTTTATCTTGTCTTGGGCACCACGAGAATAAAAATCCTCGAAAGCTTCTGATTGAATGTTCATGGGATGAATAATATCTGACATGAAATTATGATTTTGTAGAAATAATAAAAACAGTCTGCCAAAATTGAGTAATAAGATGTTCTTAGCATAGTAGTGTTATTTTTGCTATTACACTGTAATTTATGGGTGTGGTCTTATGAAATTGTTTTTATGTCTGAAGTATGGATTTTGCCATAATAAGTAGAGAGAAGGAATGGAGGTCTATGTAGGTATACTATAATTTGGCTTCATTTTACACTCGATCATGGCAGATATATATTTTTGCTGTTCTTCTTAACATGGAATAGCACTGTGATTCAATGCGATCTGCATGGAAATACTTTGGTATTTATATTTGATATGATACCCAACTCTTGTTTATTTTAATTCTTCACTCAGGTAGCATTATTAAATTTTATAGATATACAAGCTTTTACCTTCCCTTTCCCTTTCATGGAACTTATTTCGAGTTTTTGGGTGTCCGCATTGGGTTCTCGTGTTTGTCTTTGGCTCAAAAATATTTGTGGTGAATCAAACCCCAGGTTTGGGATAAATGGGGCTTAGTCAGATGGAGTTCTGGGTCTGGGCTTTGAAAGGGTTTTAGGTGGAGGCAGTTTCGTTATTCATAATATTAAGTATTGCTATAGCCCATGTAGTGGGCATCTCTTTCTGCTACAATTGGTTGCAGCTGAAGTGTGGTTGTACAATCTCAAACTCCAAAACCAAAAAATCTTCTTGGGTTGGGTTTGATATATGTTTACAGGCATTCTTCTGAAGAAAAAAAAAACATGCTTCAAACCATCAACACCCACCAAGCAAGGGGAAGGAAAAAAAAAGAAAAATGGAAAACAGAAAGAGCCTTTCACACCCCAACAAGATAATTCAAACGATGGGAGGGCTAGGGATAGGGAAGAAGCAAAACTATCATAATTCTGCAGATTTAAAATTTATTTCCATTTTCAGTAGTTATGCTAGAACTCATAGTGGTATAAAGAGAGGTAGCTTATCACACAAGTAACAAGGTCATCCATTCATATTTTTGTTGTTACAATGATTTTGTTAATGTAATCAGCTGCAAGTAGAATGAAACATCCATTCTTCATTTTTGTTTTGTTCGGCAAAGCAAACTTTTGGTGTCGGTTAGCTAGTTGTTGGTTAGTTGGATGGGGGCTTGGGTCTGGAATTTAACTTGTTTTAAATTGGACATTCATTTTTGCTGTAGTTGTTGGCAGTAGAAGTCACAAACCTAATCTCTTAAACTTTAATACATGTTAACTTTATCTGGGCTTGTGAGTGGTGATGAGATATTGCCGCAAACCATCATTTCATCCCAAGAAGTAAATTCACTATCAAATAGTTTCATGAGAACTATAAGGGGCAGAGATTGCTACTTGGATGGAAGAAGGCGAAACTGTAAAAATTTTATTTCCTTTTCGGTTAGATTGTTCTGCTATAGCTCATGATTGTAGAAAAACAGTTTATTGCTCAAAGTGTATCCCTTCATATTGTACAATGTATACAACACCATTTTTTTGCTTGACAAAAAGGCATGCATTAAAGAAAGCATTTACATGACTTTGATTTGGTTGTTTGGGTCACTGACAAATACCATGGCTTCTTGATATTTATGTATGTTTCACACGTCTTATTACGATGTAGAAGAAATTCTTTTGCAGGTCATAGCAGAGAGACTCTCTGAGGAAGAAATTGGTGGCTTGAAAGAGTTGTTCAAAATGATTGATACAGACAACAGTGGGACGATTACATTTCAGGAACTCAAAGATGGCTTAAAGAAAGTCGGCTCTGAACTTACGGAATCAGAAATCAAGTCTTTAATGGAAGCTGTAAATATACCCTTTTGAGTTGTTGAAAATTTAATGTTTTTGCTATAATCTAAGTGATACTCTATACTGTTACAACATGAGCGTGTCTCACAATTACGGTTATTGCCTTGGGAATTTTGGCAGGCTGATATCGATAACAGTGGAACAATTGACTATGGTGAATTCCTTGCTGCTACACTGCACATAAATAAGATCGAGAGGGAGGAGAATTTAGTTGCTGCTTTCGCCTTTTTTGATAAAGATGGTAGTGGTTACATCACCATTGATGAACTTCAAAATGCCTGCAAAGAGTTTGGTCTAGGTGATGTTCATCTGGATGAGATGATCAAAGAAATTGACCAAGACAATGTAAGTATACAATGGAAACTTTGAAGTTATTCTTTCATATTTCCATTGTTAAAGTTACATAGCCAAAGTTTCCACATATCATCGTGTTCGTATCAATGTCCTCACTGAGATGAATGTCTCTTGAGTGTATTTATATCGGAAAATATGAATTATTACTTGTATGAGTGCATTTAGTATTTCAAATTTGATTTTCTTTTCCTAAATGTTAATACAAATCCACGATTAAAATTGCAGGATGGGCGAATAGACTACGGGGAGTTTGCTGCAATGATGAGAACGGGGGATGCTGGGGTCGGAAGAAGCAGATCTTTGAGGAGCAACCTGACCTTCAGTTTAGCTGATGCATTGGGAGTGAAAGACCCATCACATGATACTAACTGAAATTATATTACTCGAACTTGGATGTGAGTGTCGGATACAAGTATGTATCATACATAAGTATGTTTAATTTTTTTCAACGTTTTTCCATGTATTTAGAAGGTCCTTGAATTGTTATATCTAATCTCTATTCCGATGTCCTAATATGCATCTAAAACAAGTCGGAACAACATAAACATAGAATGAAAACCAATCTCTTGATTAGTTTGCTGCGATTTGAGAAACTGAAATCAAAGGACGTTCCATTTAAGGTGCCTAGGGTGTCAATGCTTCTTTAGGTCTGGGATTGGATTTTATTCACTCGTTTACTTGGGAATGTTTAGATTTTATGGTTTTCATGCCTACCTTAATAATGGTTAGAGGGAAGGACTCAGCCGATAGAATAAATTAGCCTGTATAGTTCACTAATTGTTGGCATTATAGAGTATGTAGCCATCAGACAATTGCTGCTTCTTGTAATGTTCCATTTATAATGAAACAATAATGTTCGTTTATGATGGATGGACATATTGCTAATCAGTCGGGTGCACTATTAGAAAAACATCGAACGAAAGAGAAGGAAAAAGCAAAAAAGAAAATTAAAAAGAAAAAGAAAAGAAAATAAGGTAAATTCCAACAGAAATTGTTTCACAATAGGTGAGGTTTTTGAGTTTAAAGGCGAGAGATAATGCCTTTATTATTGGATTCAAGAATGTCCTTTTTTCATCCTTGGAGATGACACCAATTGTAGAAGCAAGGGCTTCAGCCATCACAGAGGATGGATTTTGAAGAAGCCTGGATTTTGAGGCTGCCACTATGACAATTGTTGTTGAGGAGGAGAGTTACAGTAAAACAATCTACTGATTTCATGCGAACTCCTAAGAACGAAAACCCAGACATGTGAATTCATTTAAGACAGTGGTCCAGGTTTTGTTAAATGTTCTTGACAGGACCGCCCATCTTCGTGGGGTCCATTTCTTGCTCAGATTTTTTAGAGCTTTATCAACTCTTGATATTTCATTCATTAATGGTTGAAATTAATCAATTAATATAATAATTAAAATCAACTTGTATTATAATAAAACACAAGAGACACGGAGTCTTCGCACACATTTCAATTGCTTTCCATCTTCCATCCATGGCGGCCTACTACTTGAATTCCCATCTGGGTTTAGCTCTAATCTATCTAATCTTCCTCTTTCCAATCCCCAAATCTCTCTCGGCCCTTGAGCCTCAGCCTGCTCCGCCCACAGTATGGGATATCCTTCCCCAATACGGTCTCCCTAGTGGCCTTCTACCCAGCACAGTCACCGACTACGTCCTTCACGACGATGGGAGGTTCGTCGTCATGCTGGCGAGCCCTTGTTATATTCAATTCGATTACTTGGTCTACTACGAGAAAACCATCACCGGAAAACTGGGTTATGGCTCCATTACCGATTTGAAAGGCATCCAGGTGAAGCGATTCTTCTTGTGGTTCGATGTGGATGAGATCAAGGTCGATTTGCCACCCTCCGATTCCATCTATTTCCAAGTTGGATTCATCAATAAGAAGCTCGACGTTGACCAGTTCAAGACCGTCCATTCTTGCCGTGATGAGGTTACGGGCTCTTGTGAATATTCTTGGAAATCAGTTCTTCAGGTAGTCCCGTTTCCCTTTCCTCTAATTTTTTTAATTTGTTTTACTGTCTTAATTTTATGTACCCGGATTCTTATAGTTAGGCATGTTTGAGCTGAACTTCTGGACTTACTTTTAAATTCCTTTCCCTTCCTATGAGAGTTTGTTGATCGTGTTGCTGAGGCTCATATTAGTTAGTTGATTCTCCACTTCCTGAAAACTTGGCAACCTTATGATTAGTATTTTTCTTGTTTCAAACGCATTAAATGAATTTAGTCGTCGGGTTCATATAGTTAAGGTATTAGATATTATCTTATAATCTAGTCATAATATAAAAAAAGTATTTATCTGTTTCAATTATCACATTTAGAGTACTTTTTAGTAGGAATTCAAATAGTAATTATCATATAGCAGTAGCAGTGGTGTCTAAAATCGTTGTTGTGAAAAATAGTGGTATGAAGCGGAATTACACCAATAATGATTGATCTCGGCTGCAATTTAACGAGTAGCGATCAATTGCGATAATAATAGACTGGTATTCCCGTTATTCTAATTTTTAAAAAATAAAAATCAGCTGATTTAAAAAAAAATCAAGTCCATCAAAAGAAATTCATGATGACGATACTCACAATAATTGCAATAACATCTATTATGTCTGCAAACGTGATAAATACAACATGATTAAAAACGTGATCGCAATTACAATTTAAATCCTTGTTAAAAAGTAGACATGGAAAACAAAAAGAACAAAAGGCATTTCTCCAAAAGTAAGCAGGCCTTCGAAATTCTGTAAGATCAGCTGTAGGGTGATTCTATGTTACTCAGAATCGTGTCTCGGAGATGGGTGTGTCAAAAATTTTCCATGTACTTCGAGGATCTTGAATGCATATATTCATGTGTAGTACAACAAAAAGGAAGAGTCGGGTGCAACATAGAGGTGATTCATATGTAGAAAAGGGAGAGGGGCATTATTTCTAATCATAACATTGTCCTCTTTATCCCCTTCCCGCCATTGCTAAATACCCCATGAATCGTGGATCAATGGTTAAAAGCTTTTTTTAGCATATGTAAACTGTTGGCATGGCATGCGTTTGTTGTTTTGTTAATGTGGGAATGGTATTGCAGGAGCAAGATCAGAACGAACATGAAAAATGTGTTAAAATTGTTGTTAATTTCTTCAAACCAACTTAATAACTAAGTAGGCTACAAAGTTTTACTGTGCGCTATTTAGTGTCTGTATCTGCATGCCTTACACTTGAATAAAAAGGTGGTAACCTTGCAAGATATCTAGTAGTTCATCATAGTCATGCCTCGTATTTGCTTTTTCTTAGATGCTACTTGTGTTCATTGGGGCAGCTCAGGCCATGATTGTGGTGTTTCAAGTGAAAATATCAGCTTAATGGTGTTTAATACATCAATACATTTTCATCCCATGTTTGTTATTTATTTCAGCTTCCAATGCCTACGAACGAAGTTCAGATGCTGATTACCGAGTAGCTGCCACAGACTGGTGTTGCTGCTTCGTTAAGTCGATAGGGTAAGCTTTTTATCTATGATTCGTATGAAAAGAGAGAATGAAAGAAAGAGGTGAAGTAGTTGATAGTAAAATGCCAGATTCATAAAAGATTGGTGTGGCGAAGGCTCATGAAAAATGTGTTCATAAGAAGGTTGTGTAAATAATGAACTCTACTTTTTCATGTATGAGTTGTGAACAAAAATGTTGCTCATAACTTTAACACTACTATTATTAGTTATTACATTACCTTTGCCTGAATCCCAAAGGCGTATAAATGCAGTTTCAGTTTTTTTATTTTGTTGTGTATATCTCGAAATATTTTTATGTACATTTACAGATCATACTGTTAATCTTATAGTTCGAACTAGGGTATAAATAAGTCGAGTCGAGTTTGAGTATTACCGAGCTTAACTCAAAAACTTTAACACTAAGTTTAACTCGACTCAAAAGCTCATGAACTTAAAATTTTTAAGCTCGACTGAAACACAAAACCAAATATTAAGTACATGAAAATCTTATATTGTATTTGGATGATGCAGTCATGCTCGATGAGCACTGATGAGCATTGTTAATGACGACCACTATTAAATTAATTTATAAAACATTAAATTATAAAGTATTAAACGTATAATTTAAAAATCTAAATGTAATTTAATTAAAATTCAATATTTATAAAACATTAGTTTTTAGGGTAAATTATATCATTTATCACTTATCTATTTACCCCTTTTACTTTAATCATTTTTTAATTTTGTCAATCAGGTCACCAAACTATTTAAATGTTAATGTCATTAAATATTAACGGAGGAGATGACATGACAATTAATAAAATTGTATAATTATACATTTATTCCTCATTACTTATATATTCTATTAATTTGGTCTTAACTTTTATTTAATTCAAAAATTTAATCCTCAATCCGATAGTGTCATGTGTCACTATGTGATTAGATTTTTTTAATATTTTTATTTAATTTATTTCTCATCTAATCCAATGGTGGCCTGCTAGTGAGGTTTGAACCTGGGACGCAAGCTGAAAAGTTGAGCGCCCTAACCACTAAATTGTATCACTAAATTTGTCTAGTATACAAAACATAATATATATATTTTTATGATATAGTTAATGGTAATAAATGACCTTATAAGGGCTCAAGCATGAAATAATTGAATAGAATGAAAATATAAGATATATATAAACAAATATTATAATTGATTAATAAATGAATATGTTTTATTTATATTTTAAATCACAATTAATGCAAAAAAATAAAATAAAAGTGAATTTAATATGTTATGATTGAAATGTATCATTTTACACATTTTAAATTAATAAATTATCTTCATTATTCTAATTTTATTGAATTGAAATGTATCATATCTTATATTTTAAAATATTATAACATCGATCGAATTTAATCTTATTTAACAACTCTATATTAAAATAGACTAATTCAATAAAATCAAGTTTACCCTAAAATTTTCTTCAAATATATAATGAATAAATAATAAAATATAAAATTCTTACTCTAACTGAGATATAAACAAGTCAATGCATAAGTTAAAATACTTACTATGATAAACCCTCAACTATCAGGAAAATTCTAAGTCAACGACACTCTTTGTTATATTTCAATTATGATATATTAAAAGTATTTTTTTTATTTTTTCATTAAAATGATTTAAAATACAAATAAAATGCATTCACATATTAATTAATTATAATATGTATATATATATATATATATATATATATATATCATATTATTGTATTATTCAATTATTCCATGTTGGAGTTATTATTAGGTCATTTTCCCTTTTTTATTGCCATTAACTATATATATTATGTCGTGATAGGTTTTTCATTTAAATGGTGCAGCCCAGTGGTTAAAATGTTTTCTTTTTCTCCTAATTCCTTGGATTCAAACCCTACCAGCAACGGTTATTGATTAAATTTATTTTTTATTCATTCAATTGGTGACACATGACACCATTTGATTGGAAGAAAAATTTATTAAATTAAATAAAAATATTAAGAAAAAACCCAATCACATAGTGACACATGTCATAATCTGATTGAGGATTAAATTTATTGAATTAATTAAAAGTTAGAACCAAATTAATAGAATGTGTAAGTAATGAGAACTAAATGTGTAATTATATAAAGTGAAAATAACCTCAGTGACCAAAAATCCCATATAATATACGATTTTAACCAACTTTTTCCGGATTTGCCAAAATGACCAACAAAATTGCAATGTGATCGCTAATTCGCAACGCGATCTCCATTATCGCAAATCAGTTTCCAGATTCGCAACGCGATTATGACTATCGCAATGCGATTTTCCAATTTCGCAACGCGATATTGACTTTCGCAACGCGATACTGACTTTCGCGTAGCGATTCTGACTTTCGCAACGCGATTCTGACTTTCGCAACGAGATTTTGACTATCGCAACGAGATAATACAGAATCGCAATGCAATTTTCAAAGTTCGCAACAGGTTTTAGTTTCGCAACATCCTTCTGAGTGTGACATACCAGATGACTTACAAACAGTTTTGCCACCAGCCATGGACAGAAGGCTACCTGGCCGACCAAAAAGTCACGATCGTATACCGTCTAAGGGTGAAGAGAAGAAGTGATCGACATGTAGTCGGTGCAAGGAAAGTGGTTATACAAGGTTGACATGTGGTTCACCAGTGCCATCACAATCATCTTTTCCTCTACCAAAATATGGATCCTCATCAAAATCCAAAGTTCATGTGGTGTCAAGCAAAAGGCAATCAAAATCGCAATCATCTTCAAAATCCCAATCACAACCGACTTCACCTTTTGGGACTGTTAACTTAGGTATTTTTAAATGCAAACGTTGTATTATGTGTATTTTATGTGTGAACTTTTAACATTTTCAGTTAGGCATGTATTATTAACTTGAGTTTGAACATTGCTATGATCTGTTCAGTTGTTATCACTTATAAGACATTCATTTGACTATCGCAACGGGGAAATCGCAACGCGAAAATGACTATCGCAACGTGAAAATGGCTATCGCAACGCGAAAATGGCTATCGCAACGAGAAAATCGCAATGTGAAATGAAAATCGCATTGCGATTTTCTCGATGCGATTTTCATTTCGCATTGCGATTTTCATTTCGTATTGCGATTCTCTCGTTGCGATAGTCAGTTTCGTGTTGCGATAGTCTGTTTTGCCTTCAACATAATGCAGATTGAAAATCAACAAATCAACTATTACATTTCAATCAATTAAACAAGCACAAATAAGAATTATGTACACATCAATTAAACAAATCAACATTTACAAATCATTTTTTTACAAATCAATTAAACAATCAAAAAAATAATAATAATTCTTATTTCCTCATCAATTATTGAATCAATGAATCAACTTTTGCACCCGTACATCCATTTCACGCAGCTCACTTAAGGATTAACCTGCAGAAACCAAACATTTGCTCAAACAAGACTTCCTACACATCTAAAACCTACAAACATCAAATTATTGAATTCTAGGTACTTAACCAAACATTTTCAAACCAAAAGGAGTATATATGTTAACAAAACTTGCATTTGACTTACCAATTAAGAATGGATACTTTCATAACGCGGATGCAGGTAGGCAGCGTCTCGAATATATCGCTCTAGCCATATAATGCCGAAACCACAAGCCTACTGCAGCTCTATCTCTATCGGTGGGAGGTAGAAACTCTGTGCTTCCTGTCGTCAAACGCGCCAAGCACATGCATACGAGAAGACCACAATCCCCTCTGGCTCCCGGCGATTGTTGTGGCGTGATCTCGTCTCTGACAACTGTGACATTGAACTTCTTTGGCTTCTTGTATCCAGAATGAGTCCAATAATTAGTCTCATCCAAGAATTTAGCCAAATGAGAGCTCCATCCCTTGATAATATCTCTCAAATCAGACAGTGATATGTAATTTATCATGCTGTCATATACTATTATCTTCAGGGATCGAAGCTGAAGTTGGACGAGAAGCCAATAACGACGTTCCAAAACAGGGATAAACACCTGCAATCATAAGTAATAATTCATTTATTTGTGCACTTATTTATGAACACCTTTAAAAAATTTAAAAAATAAACACTAACCTTATCGACCTCCCACCATGCAGGATAAAGTTTAGCTTGTCCATTGCCCAACGAAAATGATTCATCTCGTTGATTCTTCAAGTGAACTGCGTGAAAAGCCGCTGGCATTATTGTATATCGCGAATTTTTTTTATTTTTCCTAAGCTTCCTTATTATTAGAAGACGTGACACCCACGCATCGATATGTTGTTTTACAAAAAAAGACATATATTAGTGAATTACATTAATTTTTAAAAAAAATTAATCAAAATCATATATAAGACAAATATAAGACTTACCTCCCCATCGAAATAGCCACTGTCTTCAACCCCTAATAACACACCCCACCAAGACCGATTAAGCAACAAATACATCTCATCGTTGAGTTTGCTTATGTCAGTGTAACACCCTTGGCTCCGCTCATGTAGATAAAAATCAACTGCGGTCTTAGCCCAAAGGGTATTATCCATAATTGTTTTCGTTAGTTGTCTCCTCTCCACTTCAGATACCGGAAGGGTACTAGCCGGTAACTCATACGAGAGCCAACTCTCATCCATCATGTCCGGCAACGGTGGGGATTTCTCAATAAATCGATATATTACCCCATGTGAATCGGGCTCTGGAATGGTGGGAGGGACCTCTTCAACGATGACAGTGGCCTCTTGAACGGTGGGGGGGACTCTTGAGGGATGATAGGGGCCTCTTGAACGATTGGAGGGGACTCTTGAGGGATGACAGGTGAGTCGGGCTTCTTCTTACGGAGTCTTCGCACAATTGGGGTGAACGGAGACGTAATAGCACGTGCACGCCGTCTGATGCGTGAACTCCGTCGTGCAAGGAAAACCTGACGTAAAGCATCCACCTTATCGGGCTGCTAAAAAAAATTAATACATAAATCAGTAAATAAACAGACATGATATTAAACAAAGACAAATATGTTTCAAACTTGCATTGTATTCACCCAAGTCATTATTCTATCATAGTTCACAAAATGCATCAGATAACATTCCAGAAGTAAGCACTTATATAAATATTTAAAAGGACAACATATATAAACATTCAAGAAGAAGAATAGTTTACTTTCGCAACACGAAACTTACTTTCGCAACGCGAAAATGACTATCGCAACGCAAAAATGGCTATCGCAAT